TAGAAACGTTTCCACCAATTTTTATTTCCCCGAGCTGTCCCCAAGGATGGTAGAACCAGAGGAATCTATACACAAGAGAAAAGAAATGAGCATAGGGTTGGATGACGCTTTCTTTGTAATTTAATAACTAGGACTTTTTTCAGGGTGTGGGGATTTTGTCCTTTCTCACTCATGAGGCCTATGCTTTCTTCTGACAGTACACTTGAGAGAGCCGAGATATTTCCACCCCCTATTCAGTTAGTGAGACAGTTTTCTCATTCAGGTACAATTTCCAGTGAAATAGTAGCTTATAAGTATCCAGAAGTTAGTTTATTGACTCTTATTGCACTTCTGAGCACCTAATAAATAATTTATTTGTCTGATGGATATGTGGCTACCTAACTATGGGGCATGAAATATGCACTGTTTTTCTAATATACTGTAGGGAGACCTGTTTATAAAGTATTTAGTATTGGTTTTATAATGCACTGTTGACAACAGGAGACCACGAAGCTCAAAGATCAATCTCATTTTGGCCCACAGTATTAATGCTGCTTTATAAAGCTCTATGACAGGTCACTTAGATAGTGGTCTTCACAGAAAGGACTCTGTTAGGAAGGCAGGCTGTAGAGGCTGCCAGTACAGTAGATGAATGTCTTTGTCTGTGTCCCTAAGGTGACTCTGGTGGTTGCTGATGTTGGCCAGGTGATGGAACCCATCATTTCCCTGCTCTCTAGAGGGATTCTGGACTAGAAGTACTGAGTTCTGCTAATGCAGACCTCGCTAATTGGCCAGAAAGCTGCTGTGACTTTGGACCACAATTGCAGTTCTGGAGACAGGAATCGGACAATAAGGAGTGGAACTTGGCTCTCTTCAGCTTTGTCTTATGTTTATTAATGAAGTGAAATTATTCCACATCTTTTATGCCTTTGTTCAAATCACATAGATGACATAGCATAAAGTATTTTGATTTTTGTTGGCTTTGAGGAATTTCCTAGCCAGAAATAAATTCATAGACATTAGAACGCTACACACTAAACACTTTGAATTTGGGGAAACCTAAATAAAGACTAATTTCATCCAAAATCAGTTCTCAGTGTTTTACTTTATTTTCTTCATAAGAACTATACACTATGAGAATGCTGCATAATGACGATGATTTATAACATAGTATTGCCCATCAAGGTATATGTGTTATTGTCTTTTTTTTTTTTTGAGACAGAGCCTCACTCTGTCACCAGGCTGGAGCGCAATAGCGTGATCTCAGCTCACTGCAACCTCCACCTCCCAAGTTCAAGTGATTCTCGTACCTCAGCCTCCTGAGTAGCCGGAACTACAGGTGTGTACCACCACTCCTGGCTGATTTTTGTATTTTCAGTAGAGACAGGGTTTCACCATGTTGGCCAGGCTGGTCTTGAACTCCTGACCTCAGGTGATCCACCTGCCTTGTCCTCCCAAAGTGCTGGGATTACAGGTGTGAGCCACTGCACCTGGCATGGTGTATGTTTTAGAGCAAGGTATTTTTCTCTTTGTGTTGAGAACTCCTTGCTGGTTCTAAGTATTTCACTTCCCAAACTGGGAACTCTGAGCTATACTTTCTTGGACCCAGTCAGCTTGTTTATTATTTCTCACGCTTTTGTGGGAATCCAGGCTGAGTTCTGCTATTTGCCATTTCTGTTACTCATTTCTTACTGATACAGAGTTTCATTTTTTTTTTTTTTTTTTTTTGAGACAGAGTTTCGCTCTTGTTGCCCAGGCTAGAGAGCAATGGTGTGATCTCGGCTCACCGCAGCCTCCGCCTCCCGGGTTCAAGAGATTCTCCTGCCTCAGGCCCCTGAGTAGTTGGGATTACAGGCATGCGCCACCATACCCAGCTAATTTTGTGTTTTTAGTCGACGCGGGGTTTCTCCATGTTGGTCAGGCTCGTCTCGAATTCCTGACCTCAGGTGATCCGCCCGCCTCGGCCTCCCAAAATGCTGGGATTATAGCAGAGTTTCACTTTACCCTTTCCAGTTGGACCCAACCTTTTCTTCCTTCTGGTACTCCTTGATTCCTTCCTATCAGGTCTCCCTCACCACATAGCCCCATCTTTACTTTTCTCATTTATTGAGCACCCTGTTAGACCGTGAATTAGCAAATAAAAATTCTGTCCCTTTTAAGAAGTGTACAATTTAGTGGAAGAGACTAGCAATAAACTGGTTTTCTAACATGAGCAGTTTTAATATATGTATTTCTTAACCACAGATTTTTTTTTTTCTGTATCTCTTACCTTTGGTTTCTGAGGGGAAAAAAGGGTTTCTTTTTTCTCCCTCCAGGGGCACCCTTTTCATTTGTGCTCTTGATCATATTCTCTCCTTGGACCCTTTCATACCATTTTCCCTCTGGCTTAGATCTTCAATATCCTTTTCTCTGCTGGCTTCGTCCCCTTTGCCTGTGATAGTCTCTTTTTTCCCTGTAGTGAAAAACAAACTGCCAACTTATGAACACAACCTGTCCGAGCTCCTCTAACTTTTCAGACCACGTTTCTCTTACTTGTTTTCTTTGCAGAATTTCTCCAAAGAATATTTTACCTTTTCTGCCTCTTTGTCTTCACAATTTGCTTACTTCTTAACTCTTCTGCAATGTGGATTCTGTATACCTATCAATCCACAAAGACATTCACTCTTATGGCACAAAGCCTAATAAAATATTTCAGCCACAAATATTCATGAAGAATGGTATGTTGAACACCCATTGACCCAAGTTTAGGAACTAATATGTACAAACACATCTGAAGACTAGGGTTACCATTGAAATTATACTGTGTCACTCACTGTCAATCTCCCCATCCGCCTTTCCCCATATTCCATCCTTAAGCACTATTCTGATTTTGGTATTTATTATTCCCTTGCCTTTTGGTTTGTTCTTACTGTATTTGCTTCTACTTAGTATTTCACTTGGTTTTAACCATACCCTAAACATAAGTCTTGTTGTTTTAGATCATTTAAAACTCTTAAGCATCCTATCTTCTGTCAACTGTTTTCCCTTATCATGTGGAACGTGGGACAATCACAATGCTCCTGTTAACTCTGTTCCTTCTTTTTTTCCCCCTAATAACCATGGGTATCCCCTGAGATACTGACCTTGGCCACTTGTTTATCTCTTGGGTCAGGTCTGTGTAGATGGCTGCTGAATGTGATAACTTCAGTGTCAGTCTGTTTTGTAACATTTCTAGTTGCCTGGTTATCTGCATGATCTGCTGTTCCCCCATACTGAACCTGATACATATTCTCACAAAATAGTTCACCCCCCTTTCTGTTGATAATGCTACCATTTTCCTGTGCTCAGACTATTAGAACTTTAGTGTCATTGTTGACACTTCTCATTTGTTACAGTCATTCTGGTCCCCTTGATTTTATCTTCACAGTATCTTTTGTATCTTGTCCTTTTTGTTTTCTCCAGCCCTATTGCCAGTAATTTACCCAGATTATTGATTGATTGATTGATTGAGATGGAGTTTTGCTCTTATTGCCCAGGCTGGAGTGCAATGGCACAATCTCTGCTCACTGCAACCTCTGCTTCTTGTGTTCAGCTGATTCTTCTGCCTCAGCCTCCCGAGTAACTGGGACCACAGGCATGCACCACTACACCTGGCTGATTTTT